TCCAAAAACAATGCCAATGATAGACCCTTTCAATTACAAACTTTTTTGTCAAATAATTCAAATGAAATTATAGAAAATGATGCAATAAATAATATAAATACTAATACTGTTGAAGATAATGATATGGATAATAATATTAATAATAATCAAGAATCATCTCATCATTATATGTTTAATCTAGACATCGGACAATCGGATAAAAATTCACCAAATGAGCCATCGATACAACATTTAGACAATCACTTAGATCACCAAATGGGTCAACAAATGGGTCAACAATCAAATAAATATGCAAATTATTATTTAAATCGCGATCCAAACAAAAATGTACAAAATATTGAACATCAAAGATATTATGACAATCAGTTGACACAACATCCCAATGATCAACAATACCAACACAACAACCCCGAAGCACATCTAGTGGTTCAACGTTATGGCCAAGAGTTAAGTGATGAGAACAACAACAGTGGTCAACAAATTGTCAAAACAAACCATAAATTTTATGAAGAAGAAGAAAGAGCCAGTCGTTGGAATAATGTCTTACAAAATATGGATTTCAATGTTAATTCTCTGAGTAATAGTAAACATAAAAAACATTATTAACTTTTTGTATATCAAATATAATACTTTTTTTAATTATCATTATATCAACATTTTTGATTATCATTTAATAATCAACAAAATAATTATGTTCCTATATTATAATAAAATTAATAAAATAAAAAGTCATTCAATTTTTGATAAATAAATTATTGAAATTTATAAATTACTAAAATAATAAATATATCATTTAGTCATATGATATATACTGTATATAGTAATTGCTTAGAAATATAATTTTAACAATCAATTATAAATTAAATTTATCTTAAACTAAATTATTTTTTATGATGTTTAACTTTTTATTTTTATAATTGTATATTTACTTTTGTAATTTTTTATAGTAATTTTACTTTTTGCTAAAAAATTATAATTATAATTATTGATACAAATTGATTAATGATTCTTGTAAGTTATAACTTATAAGTATAATTAACATTATTTTATATCTTAATAATAATATAAAGTATTGATTAATAATTATTTAAAATTTATCAAATAGTTGTTATAATAGTTGCTAAAAAAGCCAAATAGTTATTTATAAACTTTTATAGTTCTAACCCATCAAATTGTTATTTATAGTTATAGTAAAGTTTCGGGAATAACGTCCACTTATTATGTTCGGTACAAACAAATAAAATAGTTTTTTTAGTTGGAAATCAAGACATTATTAATAAATAAATAAATACAAAATTTAATAAAGTTGGACTTGATTTAAATCATGTATTATATATTAATTTGTACATGATTTTTTAAAAATAAATAAGTAAATATAGTTTTTTATTTATATATTTATTACTTATAATTAAGTTATTATATATTTTTCAATTTTAAAAGTACAAATATTATATTTGCAAAATAATATTAATAAAATAATATTTAATGTCAAACCTATATTAAAATTTTTATTATAGATGAAATTACTAAAATAAAAATTTAAAATAATCTATAAAATAGAAATAAACTTAAAGTTTATAAGTTATAAAATTATTAAAAATATTACTAAATTGTGTATAATTAATGTTTAAATATAAATGTAAATTTTTATTCATTTATAAAGTTGTTGCAAAAAATGTTAATAATCAAAAATTTGATTTGTGTTTAAAATAAAACATTAAATATTGTAAATATGGGCCAAATGTTGATTTTATGTATTTTGAAATAAAATATTTTGCTGGAAGGGATCAGTCAATCGATAGCAATGACTATTTCAATCAATTTGTTTAATGATATTAAAGTCTAAAAAATTAGTGACTTAACTATGCAACGAACGCTTAGATTTAAAAATATATATATATTAAACTTTTAAACTATCTTTTTAATTACAAATTTTAAAATACAAGTTATGATATATAGTTTGCATACTGTTTATAAATAATATAACAAAAAATAAAATATTAAAAACATTTCTTTAATATAATAAATAATAACTAATAATAACTAACTTTTATAACGAAGTAATGTTCGCTTTCTTTAAATCAATTAAAAACAGGTTAACCAATGATCTGGTTTACAACAGCTTCACTGGTTTACTATTGACTTCAATCAGTGATTGATCTCATCAAATGTTAATCAATTTTGTCGTTGATTTATCATTTTATGTACACATTTAATAACAATATATTTATAGTTTGTATAGTATTTAATAGTATTATATACGTGTATATATAGAAATTATATATAGTATATAATTAATACTATATATTATATTAATACACGTATATATATTATATAATATATATTATTTATATATTAATGAATTTAATCCTTAGTAATTTTTGTATATACATTATTAATATAGTTTTTAAAAAATATATTTAACTTTTAATATCAGTTTATTTAAAATTATTTTTTTTAATTAGAAATATAAAAACAAAGAAATTATTTAATACTTTAAGTAAAATGAATGTTTGAAAATAACAAATATTAAGATTTTGTTTTACTAAATGAATGCAATTAATAGATGTTTTGGTCGGACAAATAAGTGGGTTATTAAAATTTTGAATCAGTTTTAATGACCTATTAATATGAATGGATGGCATTAAAGCAAAAATTATTTTATTTAAACACCACTGAAACAGTCATAACATTTCTAAAAAAGTCTGTCTTTAAAAATTGAAATAAAAAACTGATCATAACTTTGGGATTATAATAATGCAAAATAAACTGTCATTGAATATAATATTTACAATACATATGAATATTTTATATGAGTAAATGATTATGAATTGAATGGTTCAAGTCGTATGAATCCATTATATTTATAATGTCAATCATAAGACATATCCTGATTTAAATAGGAGTAAGCAATTCATGTAAAAGATGTGTCTTTTGTCTAATCATAGCACTCATAATAATTTAGTTAAAAGTCATTTTATTTTTTATTTATTATGATATATACTAAATATTAGGTGTCATTTTGTTTTAAGGTTTTCTTATGTTTTGATCACTCATTTACTAAATCAGTTTATATGCACCCATTCATCACATTGTTGTTGTAATATTAGAATAATAATAATTTATTATTATTATTATATTATTAAAAATTACACAAAACAAATCTTTAACATATATTGTTTGATGCCATGATCTATACATTTATAAATAACAATTTATATTTAATTACAATTAAATACACTTTTTAGTGCATAAAGTTTTGTTTATATGACGTCAGTAGATTATGTCTAAAAAATTACATATATATTGCAATCAAAATGCAAATTTTTGGGATAAAAAATTATTTCATTATATTTTAAGTTTCTTTATATAATTTCTGATAAGAAAAAGTTTTAATTCTGTGATTATATTTTTATATTTAATATTAATAATTTTTATAAATATCAAATTAAATTGTTTAGTTAATAAAATGCTGACTCAATTATGCAAATTAACTCAACTTATAATTTTAATGATTGTTGCTTTACATGTGATTTTTGTTATGGGAGTCAAAAGGGATAACAAAACCAATTTAACTTTAGATAAGCAATCGGTTGATAATAAAGAGAGAGACGGCCGACAATTCTCACAGGGATATGGACCGGGATTTTCTGGTATTTATATCATTTCTAATGTTATATTTAAAGAATATTCTATTAATTTAACATTTAATTTGTTATTTACTAATATAATGAAGACTACGGTGGCTTAAGTAGTTTTGGCGGACCATTGGAATCCATACTAATAGGTCTGTGTGTTGTCGCCGCTTTGGGAATCGTTGGAATCCCTTTCTTCTTATTGTTTATTTCATTATTTAATGGCGGAGGAGGAGGTCTGACTGGTACTGGTCTCGGCGGCTTAAACTTAGTGCCCACCACTACTACCACTGTTGCCGGTCGTAAGCGCCGAGACATTACTTCACTTTTACCTGAAGTGAATCCACTTATTCAACAACAACTTCACAACATATTTAATACTTTTGTTAAAAATCCCGATAAGATTGCACTCATTGAACAAATATTTGATTCAGTTGTTGGACGCAAATAATAATATTATTATTTTTTTTAATTTACATCTTTTATATCATTTATTTATCTAAGAATTTATGTATTTAAATATATTATTCATGTTTTTTAAAACTATTTATAGTATATTAACTATAATCTATAATTTTTAATTTTAAATATTTTCATAAGCAAAACTTTAATCACTTAATTAATGATAATACTCTTTTCAAAATTGGTTATCAAAATATTTGCATTAATTAAAAAAATTAATATTAATAATTCCTATAATTATATTTTAAAATTTTTCTAATGCAATGACATTTATTATAAAGTACATTATAAAAATAATTAACATAATTTCTGATATTTGTTTAAAACAATTTTTTGAATTTAATAAGTAAAAATATTTGTTTTTTAACTAAATACTAAATATTTAACATTGAATTTTATATTTTACAACTTTAAGTAGTAAACGGAATACTGTATTTACATTAGAAAACATTGTGGAAATTTGTCATAAATATGGTCTATAAAAAAAGTATTACAAATTTTTAATGGTTTCAATCAATGGTTATTACATTTTGTGTAATGAGTTAGACTAATGTTATACAAGCGGCAGGACTTAGGATCCTGAAGAGGACGGGACCAGTAAATACAGTACAGTCTCTAGTATTGGTACTACTTTTGGTTACACTACTGACCTACTAGAGTGACGTAAATTTGTTTAGTTGATCCCCCAAAGGTCAAGGTCTCAATTAAATAGATATCAATATTACTGTTAAAGTTGATGTTCAACTCAACACAAAATGAAATTATGATCCCCTCTTAACTTATATAAAAAGCCGACAAATATTAGCCATCAATTTAAAAGGTTCTTATATTTTGAGTGAAATGTTTTGTTAAACAAATCAAATGTAATTCAATACTTGATTCTAACAATTACTTGTATCTCTTATACATTGAAAATAAATACTATTAAAGTGTAAGTTTTTATTTACTTTCCATCAAAAGTGGATTAAAAAAAACTAAGTGTGGATTATATTCTTGCATTAAATTAATATTTCATTTATAAAATAATAGTGTTTAAAGCAGATTATCTGAAAGTGTATTTGTGGATACAATGGTGACCACAAAAGATAAAGTGCCATTTGTTATCATATTTATCATAGTTTGTGCCAATTATGCTATTAGTGCTCACTTTCAACAAAATACTAATAAGGATTTGTTTAAACAAATTATATCGCGAAAGATGGACGTCGATAGACAGGTTTGTCCGTTATTTAACTATTAATAACTATTAATAAACTATTATTATTGACTATTATTTGACTATTATTTGACTATTATTTTGCTTAATTTTGTTAAAATACCAAAAATATGTCATTAATAGTTTTATAAATATTTTCTTTTCTTAATATTCAATTTATTTTTATAAAATTTTATGATTTTTGTTGATTTTTAAAGTTTTTTTATTTATATTTTACTTATTTGAACTAATATATCATTTATTCGTTATTTATAAAATAAATATTTATAAATGTTTATTAATGTCACAAAATTTATAGGGACTTATAGGAAGTTCTTTATTGGGCGGACCACTTGTAAGTATATTATTTGCTAAATATAAATATAAATAGTAAATCTATTTAATAAAATCAATATTATTATTATGTATTGACGATTAGGCTGTCGCCGCTTTTCTCTTAACTCTTCCGGCATTACCGGCACTATTGATGGCACCATTAGCTGTGGCCGGTTTGCGTCCTACTATCGGAGCTGTCGGACAATTCATGAATAGTATCAATTCTGGGTCTGGATTTACACAGGGAATCGCATCATTGCTTAATCCACCCAATAGTCTGGATCAGGACACGTCTGCATCTAATTCAGTGTCGTCCACATCGACTACCGGTTCTAATAATGGTTTGTTTTTATTTTTTAAAGATAATTTTTTTAATTAGCAATTTTATTTAGTTTAAAAAATTATTATTAAGACATTACTTAATTAAATATAATAAATAAAATAAAATAAATTTAATATAAATGCTAAAAATTTTAAAGAATATTTTAGCATATTAAAAATTCAAAACTATGCTATTTATTTTATATATTAATAGTAATATAGGTCATTAACGATTATCAATGCTTTGAATATACTGTATTAACAAATTGTATCTAATTTTTTATTTTTAAGTTATCAAATTTTTTGATGGACTATATTTGAGTTGACATATAACTATCATAAATTTTATAAAACTAATATATTCTTTTTTTTATAAACTTGTTGCTAGACTATTAAATAGCAAAATTATTGCCGCATTTTATTGTTTATTATCTAATAATTTTTGAATTTACATAAATATAATTTTATTCAATATTTAAAAACGTTTACAAATTTTTATTTCAAACTATTATAATAGCAGCCGTCTCTTCGTTTTCTTCGGCATTGAGATCTATTTCAGAGCTTATATTCAACCGACGGCTCTCTAATCCAGGATTAAACAGAATCCCTAATAAACAACAAAATCCAAACTCTGAAACAACTAATACTAAACCTAATAGCGATTCTACAGAAAGTCCACAACAAAGGATCGGTACATTAATGTCATCGCTGAGGGATGTATACGGGATCATCAAGAATGGACTTCGGAGGTATGAAATTACTGATAGCGACTGTCAATCAAGAATCATATGTGAAGTACATCAGAAAGCAGTCGGAAGAAGTACACCATTGGCCACATTTACTGCACAACTCATGGATATTATTGGGTATTTAATAATATAAAACCAAAAGCAATTTTTAAAAAATTAAAATTTTTATTTAAGTCTTGAGAAACATTTAGAGGGATCTAATGCTGTAACAGAAAAATCCAAATATTTTATTAAAGACTTTGTGAGGGCCGCTAAAACAGGACTCAAGAATAAGGACTGTTCGTCTGTATTCAGTAGATGTCCAGCCATTTCAAACATCTTAGATTCGCCACATTTTAGTGCCATTAATAATCTTAAAGACAGACCAAATATTCAAGAAATCAATCAATTATTACAATCAAAGTTATCTCCCAATAAAGCCATTGGCAAACAAGTCATTAAAGCATCACTTTTGAAGACACCGCAAACCCTCATCTATAACACAAATATTAAACAAAAACTGTGATCTAATCAAAATGTATTTTCAACTTGTTTTTCATATCGCTAACCATTACAATAATTTCTATTTAACATCATTTTATTTAGTTTTATATGATATTATATATGAAATTAGTAAATGTTTTGAATTTTGGGTTAAGTAAAAAAAGGAACCCTTTTATTATATTTTTATCTATACATATATTTAGTGTTTATCATAATATATTTACATTGAAATACATTTTTGTCATTTAACGTTTATGTAATAAATATTTATGTTGTGTAATATAATCTTTATATTATTGGTTAATCATAATCTTAAAAATAAATAATATTGTAATTTAATGATAAGAAATAGGATCGTAAACGTTATAATTTATTTAATATTATTATTCACATTAATTAAGTTTTTTACAATTCAAATATTAATTATTTTTTTTGTTATTGATAAATGGTATTTATAATAATATGAAGTAATAGTATTTACAAACAATTTTAACGACTTTCAAGATTTTTAATACAAACAACAGGTTCTTCACATGTAATGTAAGTTTTAGGAGTCAACGAAAACGGAAGCATTGAATAGTAAGTACTGACTAAAAATACCGCATATATAATGTTGAGGCACTAACAACACTATAACCCCACACCCACTGATAAACCCAATGGTAATACATACATACCGTTCCCTAAAGCTATATATTCATGACTTTTCTTACTATTCTTTAGTATAAGTTTTCTAAACATAGCATCACTTCATCTAAAGTATCAACAAATTTATATTAGTATAACATTTTGGATATTTTGCTAATTCTTGTGTAAGTATTTTAAAATTTTATGTTTTCTTAATTATTACAGAAAATGTTTTAACTCATTAAAAATTGTCAATAATTTTATTTCTTATAATTTCGAGGTTTATTTGATTTCTTAATGTAGATTTGATATTAACTTTTGATATTTTCTTAATGTTTAAATAATGATATACTGTATACCGTATATCTTTCTATTTGTTATATCAAGATTATAGTTTTAAAATACTACTACTGTATAAATTAATAATAATATTAAAATTACAGTATATAATCAATTGTATTTCATAAATATATTATGAAATACTATTACTAAAATATTTAAATCATTCTTAGATTCAACAAATAGTAAGCCATAGTAAAATAATATAGATTATCAGTTTGTTAATTAATCAAATTTTAAGTTAAAAATTAATATCTTTTTAGAAATTTTAATTTTATATGTGTATTTTATTTTTAATAATTGGTATTATTAAAGTTTTAAAGCTAAAATTTTTTTATTCATTAATTTATAGATTATATAAAATTAATAATATGGAAAACTATACAACTATTATAACGTGTTTATTATTAATATCATTATACGGATCTTATGAATGTAATCAACAAAAATCTGTGTCAAATGTTTACAATGAAAGCACTGGTCGACAGTTATCTATTTGGCCATTCAGTACACGACTGAGTCGACAAATCTTCGATATGTTAGACATAGTGACAGATGTGGCGGTCCTAACATTCCTGGGAATACCAATTCTGGGACTCGTAGCTGTTTGTATCATTCAAATATAATATTAATAGAAAATTGTTCATAAAATTACTTTATTAATAAATTTGTTGTTTCAATAGTTGGGCGCATCAATGATGGGTCCGGCACTTAATGGTGGACCTACCAGTCGGAACAAAAGATCTGTTGATTTTATAGATAGATCCAAAAGAGCCATTTTATACGCTAGAAATCTATTTGATGTATTGGCCAATCTTGAGGACACATTTCAAAAATACGAGATCATTGAGTCTGAGTGTCAATTGAAAGCCGTTTGCGAAGTTCATAAAAAACAAAATAATTTAAATCCAAAGTTTAATACTTTTGGTACACAAATAATTGATCTCATCAGGTATTCAAACATTTATTTTTATTTCTTACAAAAATACCTTATTATTAAAATATTTTATTATTGTTTTTATTTGCATATAAAAAGGATGCAAAAAGATTTAGAAGAGTATGAGATCATACCATTTGCTAAAATTATTTTTGGTCAATACGCTGATGCAGCCACTTATGGTAACTTATTTCTAATCATTTATTAAAATTATTTTAGTTATAATATTTTTTATTTATACATTTACTTCTATTTATACATTACTAATTAATGTTAATGAATAATTATCATACAATATAACATTGAATAGCATATATTAACAAAATGTATAGTTTATTTTGGAATTTAATTTAATTGATTTATGTATTTATTATATTAATAATTTTCATTAATATATTAATTTTATTTCATACACAATAGGAAATGAAGATAATGATTGCAATTTGGTTTACAGTCGTTGTGCACACAATTTAAATGATTTGCTTAATAAAAGTATTAAAGATAAAACAGAAAACGAGAAATATTAATCATATATTATAATACTAAAACATTGATAGATATCGTTATATTGTTTTCACAAATATTTATTAAAATTACATTTTTCATATTTATATAACATTTTGATACAACTATTTATTTCATTTTCATTTTTCTTATTTATTGTTCATTTAATAATTTATTATTATTTTTCGTCATTTTATTAAAATAACAAATTTTATATTATTTACTTGAATCTGAATTATATATTTAATATTGTATAATTGAAATTTATTGACTTATTTGAATTGTGATATAATTATTTATAATAATTAAATAAAAATTATAATTTGCTAAAAATTACTTTTTTAATTGTTTAAAAGTTGTCATAATAATTATTTTTTCATACATTTTACAATTTACATATTTATTTATATAGAAATACAAATTAACAAAATTACTAATTGTAATATAATAAGTATTTTGAAGGAAAAATAAATTAGTAAACAATATAGTAATTAGTTAAATAATAAACAAATACAGTATAAATATATTATATTATTAGTGAGTCTTATCCGTCAAAATTGATGCCAAACAGGACTTTCAATGTTAAGTTTAGACAATTAGTAGAGAAAAACAACAAACAAATTATTCATTTATCTATTCATACATTATATGTAATCATAGTTTGTTTCAATGATAGCCAATACAGTCAGTTTGAACTGTAATAATGTAATAATAATGCTTTTGTAGCAATCATTGTAATTACAATCACTGTATTGACTGACACACACTGTAACAGTCTGTAAGCAATAGTGCCCTTCAAATAGTTAGATGTTGTGGTTGTGGGTCAGTCCGGTCATCGACTTTATGTTGTATAACAGCAAAACATGTTTGTGTTTACGTCACTAATGCCTTCCGCATAGTTTCAAATGTTTGAGACAATTATGAAATTGTCTCTCAATTTTAAAAATACTAACATTTTTTTACTAATTATCGCTGAAGTTCAAGGTTTCTGATGTTAATGAATCTAACAAAACATTAAAGTTTGAATCAAATAATTAGCAGTTATTTCAATTTACTCACAAATCGATTTAATTAAATTGTAATCATATTAAACATACAGTATTTTATTTTTTTAATACTACAGTATAGTACGGTATTTGTTTCATTGTTATAATTTAATTATCAGTACTATATAAATAATGCTATAAATGATTATTTTAAAAAATAAAAATAACTATTAAATATGTTATATTCAAATATATTTTTTAAAATTTTGTAATTCATTTAATAATTTATTTTTTATTAATTTTAAATTATATTATTAACAAGTTTTTTTGCAATGGTAGTTATATTATTTTAACAAAATATGTAAATAGATAATTTATGATTAATGACAAAATAAATATTAAAATAAATAAATAATGTTAAAATCGACGAAAAGTTTAAAAATAAAATATTAGATTAAATAATGGATTTAATGTAATGTATATTTTGATGTTAAATCAAAACTCAAAACTTTAAATTTTAATTCTTAGTTCTTTTGCTTGCATTTGAATCACTGGTCGCCACTAAAGTGTAATTCATTTTCTCTTTATCTTTGAATGTCTCAGAAGTGGACACTTTCTTCATTCCTGTGAATTCCTTGATCTTATCGAAAGTGTTTTGATTATAAAATTTGTTGATAATATCCGCCGAATCGTATCTGTCATCGGAAGTGATGTCAGCGTAAAGATTCTGGAGTTTGATTGTATCGTTCAATACTTTGGGATCCGTTTCGACAGCAAATGACGAGTAAACCTGAGGCGAGATCTCTGCCACCGGATTACTACTAATTCTGTTTTGTTTGACATTTACTTTTGAATTCCTATTCTCCAACATATTAACCATCTGTTGATAAGCGCCGGCATTACCGCCGTTATCCATATCTGAATATTTTTGGTTTGTTTGAGGAAACATTACATTTGACGATATGTGAGGGTTTGGGTTTGGCATTGAATATTGCGGAACAGCTCCAATCCTCTTCTTGTCAGACGCTATTGGTTCGCGATGTGGTGGCGGCCATATTGGGTGTTCCGGTGGAAAACGCCCGACTGGTGGATCAGGTAACGGAGGAACTGGCATTGGTGATACTAATTCATCAATTTTTAATTTATAAATAATTTTTATACTTTTGTATACTTTAACAATAATATGAGAAAAATAAAATACCGGGCGATTCATAAAATGCAAGCATAGCTACCACTCCGGCCAATACAGACACTGCATATACAGCTGAAGTCAAAGGTTTACTGAACACCGATCTTACAGATGCTTCAATATTAGCTGACAATTGCACAAAAAAATAATAAATATAAAATAAAAACTATTTTAAAAATTTGAATATTGACTTACATCTGAAGAAATCACTGTCTTTTAATTTGATGACACCATTGATGACGGAAACAATGAGATTATCGCTGGCACTACTGTCCCGAGCTTTGACTTCATGTTTGTCTTTACATTGAACATAAAAAATAGTTAGCAGTAAAAAGCAAAATATCAATAATTGATAATTATTGAAATGTCGACTCATTTTTGCGAATATTTTCTCGCAAATGAATGTTTGACTGAAAATTATGAGACACTTATAGGCAAAATGTTTTTTAAAATAAATTTAACAGAATATGAATGTGAAGAGAGAATCGGTTTATTTTGAGGTCAAACTGTATATAATAAGATTGGCTGACATTTCATACAATTTCATGCCATCACTACAGTTGAGACTGGATTCTGGGAATTGCTCTTATATTTGGCAACTGCTTCGCAACTATTTTTCAAAAGCCAATCCTCAAAAACTGTAGCTCAGCTCAGGTAGTATATTGTGAATCTAATGAACTCTCAAACTACCGTTAAGTATAATTTAACTTAAGGGCTACCTATTGGCAAAGTTATACTCAGATTTTACCGATTAATACTGCATATGCTCTCTGTTTGGCACTTATAAGTTATAACATCAAAATTTACCATTGTCATTTATCAATGGCACTAATTAAATCAAAACATTAAATACTTTTAAATCAATTAATATAAAATATATTTATATTTTGTCATAAAATTTCAGTGTTTACTCACATATAATTTTTATTACTAGTAAATCATGTTTAATTATAAACTTGTTTTAATTCAAAATACTTGCTCTTATATGTACAGTATGTGTATGTGTGTGCAAAACTACTGTATTAATTTTAACTAAAAAAATAATTTATAATTAATCTTTTTCAATCTTTTAAATATAATTGCACTCAGTTTCAAAACAATTCATATTAATTCAACATTATTATCTAAAAACCATAAAATCAATTTTAATGCCGTTTGTTGTAAATTGTATAAAAGTTTTAGATTATATTAATATTAAATTTCATTTAAATTCAAAATACTGAAACTATGTAAAGATTTACAAAACTATTATCTTAATGTTTGTTGTAATCTACTTGTTTTGAGTCTATCATATTTATAATTTATTGAAAGTAAAAACTTAGTTTTAATGTAATGTTTTGAATTTATCAACAATACTTAGTTTTAGCTATGCATAACTTTTTTATTGTTTTAATTAAAAAATATGAAATATTTTTGGTTATATATTATACAATTTTTTTTACAAAATAGTAACTCAAAATTATTTTCAAATTTATAAAAATAATTTTTTGATAAATTAATAAAAATAGTATTAATTACTGGTATATATTTGCATTCAGTATAGAATATAATAATACCATTAGTTTCTAAACAAATTATAAATTAAATATTTTATAAACAAAATTGTTAATTAATACTGATATTTGTAAACTAAAAATAAAAACCAATTTTACACAAAAAGTATATTACAAGTATTGTTAGTATAATTTACTGTATATATATAACTTTAAGTCTGCTTAGAAAATAAAACAATATCTGTAATTATTACTGTAAATAATAATTTCAATTATTTGTGTGATGTTTTCAAAACAATAACTTATATATAAATTTTTTACAAAGTCAAAGGCTTAAGGCTTGGTATACAGTATTGTATAGAACAGTACCTAAACATAGTTTATATTTGTATTATTATACTATAATTTATATAAAAGTTTTCAATATAAATAATAAGGTGTTATACCGGTATATTGCAAAGTTGATTATAAATTATGTGTTAAAATTATTTAACTATATTTTCTATTTAAATAATCATTGATCAGTATATGATAAATAATAAACTGTTTATCATTGTTTTTAAAGTTACAAAAATAATTTTTCAATTTTTATTTTATTACTACTCAATTTCCAATTTATTTTTTTTGAAACAATATTATTATAAATAAAAATAAATATAAGTAAATTAATAAAAAATATTATGTATAAAATGTCATTTGAAAATGAATGATAACTTTTATATAAGATGACAAAATTCAATGCAATATTATATATATATACATATTTTGATAATAAATCAAATGTTGAATTTAAGAGCCAGGAAAGAGATAAGGGAATAGGAACTGGAGGTGAACTACTACTTCCATGTCTTCATAAAATAAAGTTCGTTTGCGTCTCCGTCTCGGCGGGGGATCAGAGGTCAGGTTCACTCTTCGGTATGGATTTGGTATTATAGGCATCGAAAATGGGACTATAAGACTGATATTTTAAATAATTAATCATAAGATTTTAATAATAATAATAATAATAATAATAATAATAATAATAATAATAATAATAATAATAATAATAATAATAATAAAACTATTTGTAAAACATACCGAATCATAGCTGTGGCAAATTGATTGTCAAAGATATTTGGGTTTAATTGTCGCGATTGAAAATATCCCAATGAATAGTCACTTTGTGACCAATTTTCACAATTAATTAATGAAATACACAATGCATTGCATGTCATAAACATAGAAAATAATTTATTATTATTCATTTTGTCGATAATTAATAAACTTATTTAAAGTTGTTTCTCATATGCTTCAAACTCTTTGAATGTTTTATAAATAGTCAAATAAATAATTTATATTTAGGAAACACTTTACAAATGAATACATTATCTTTTAATACTTTAAGCTTTATTTAGTTATTATTATAGTAAGGTTACGGATCTTATTATAATTCCGGGAAAAAGCCATAGTTTTTCTAAATACTTACAATAAGTTAAATGACTGTTTAATATACAAATTAATTAAATTAATTCGTAATTAAAAACCTAAATTAAACGTTTCTAATTTTTCACATTATATTATACATAGTTTATACTTTATATTTAATGTATAATAATTAATAGTAAAATAAATACAATATAGTCTTTAATATTTTATTTTTATAATTGATGACATAAAAATATTTATTTAAAAAAATTATTAATAAATATCAATCTTCATATTTTTGTTTGTCTAATATTTTTTTAATATTATAATATAAAACAATGTCTACTTAAGTAAAACCTAAAATCTCATCAATCTATTTATGAGTTGTTAAAAATATATTTCATTCAGTATATCATTCTTTATAACAAATATAATATGTTGTAAAACTTAATTTATAATATAATCTACAGCTGTATAATAACTGCATAAATAATTTAGTGAACAATTAAATAAAAAATTGTTTTAAATGATTGAAATCAAAGTTAACATTAAGAGCTCTTAGAGTTGGCGATGCGTTGAAGAATTGGGCCAAAAATAGATCCAAAAAGAAACTGAAGAATACTTTAGCCATTCTTATCGCTAATACATTCCATTTGGCTTTTTCTATGGCTTCGGACACAAAACCGATGATTGGTATCCTTTTAGGTCTTTCTTCTGATTTGGTTTTGTTTTTATTATCGACAGACACTTTGTTGTTCACATTGTTGCCAAACAAACAGTTAATTTTGATTATAATAATAAAATATATACATATTATTAACAAAATCTTCATTTTAAAAAAAATCAAAAAAATTATTATAAAATTATCAAATCAGTGGTCAATAATAAAATGTGATTCACATTTTTATCAGTCATTTGTCTACTTTATTAAATCCGGTATAAGTATACAATAGTTGGCATCTAATTTGAGTATTAAAAATTTAGTAAACATACAGTAGATTAACATTTTTTAATCTTTTAAACAAATAATATTAATCTAATTCTAAGCATATAATATACAAAATGTCATAAACTAATAGTTAATAACCACGTTATATGAATATTAAATATAGTAAAGAACCTTGTTACTATAATAATTGTAATTTATTAAAAAATAATATATTAATTTGCTTTTACATTAACTTATTAAAAAAATCGAAATTACAAATTTTTGTTTTAAAATAAATATAGTAATTTTCAGTTTGTATAAATTACCGTAATTGAAATTTACGAACATTAAAATTCTGTATAATAATCCAAATAATCTATAATATATCTAAATTTTCAATTATAAGTTTACAAATTAAAATACTTATTACTGTACTATTTGTATTACAGTGCAAAAACTACACCTTAATTAAAAGTATAAAATGTATAAATATTTTTGTTACAATTTTAATTAAATTATAAACTCAACGCATAAAATCTAAATTATTATAAATCCTAGAATAATAACTATATTATATAAATATTATACAAATATCAAAGCAAAACAATTAAATCTTTTTGCTTTTTGTCTTTTTCTTTACAAAAAATGAATTAATATCTGTATCGAGAGTTCTTTCAGCATTCAGACGATTAAAATTATTTGACATTTGAATAATAAATGGATAAATTTTGCTATAATTATATACAGCAATAGTAATGATCAAAATTAATGGTAATGTATAAATTGATCCGTGACTGATGTCCTGATCAATGAAATAATTTGAGTTATCATTTGATTTAAGTCTCGGATTAAATGTGATCGTCAAATGTATATGACTTGTGTTGGCCCGAAATGTCCTCAAAGGTGTATCCAATTCATATATATTTGACGAAAGACTTGATTCTAAACGAATAAAATAATTTCTATTATCAATGTTAAGCGGCGGTAGAAAAAAAAATGGACTCTTATTCAGTGCTATTGTGGTAATCGGTTGGTCCGGATTTAGTTCACTATACAAACGAATCTTTAATAAAAAAATAAATTAATATCAAATATCCAAAAAATGATATAATTTTATGTTTGTTGTTACCTTCAGTGAAGGCAAGTGTTCAAATGCAGTGATGACATCACCGCTGACATCCATTTGAGTGATTTTCCTAAATATAATTAACCGCACATTTGTTATGTCGCGATCTTCAACTCGAATCAAATGAATTCTAGGTATCGATTGATTAAAATTTTTATTTCTGTCGTCATTTGCTTTAATTCTGATGGCGTATTGACACTCAGGTCTTAAACCCCTAACTCTGAAACTACCATTAGGTTCACTGATTGTTTCTTCCTGTAATTGTGAGCAATTCACCTGAGAGTTAGTCACAATATTTCTTAAACCAATAGCTTCGACAATAACTCCGGATTCTGGTTCACCATTAAGTGAATCAGTGATACCAATGCAACTAAAGGCAACCTGTTTGGCGCTAATCTCTGCTTTAATATCAGAGCCGTCATCGACAGTAAGCATTTGAGATGAAGGTTCAAAATCATACTCTTTCTTCATAACTCTTAAAAAATATTGTCCGGAATGTAAATCTTGGAAAACCAACTGTCCATTAGTTGGTGTCACACTATTTTTACGGTAATTGTCAGTTCCGCCACTTATAGATATCAATACATCAGAAAGTGGTTCATTCTTCTCATCCTTAACTTCAACTAATATCTTAGACAAACGAATGGCCTCAAAATGGCCTAATTTATTGGCCACACTTTTGAAGAAATAGCCCTCTTTTTCAGCGCTGACAGTAAGCGAAATATCACTATCAAAAGCGCCGGCAATGTATTTGCCGAGTGAATCAGTTTTTGTGGTAAATAATAATTGATCGGAACTAACTATTTTGATAACAACACCTTCAAGTTTTGGAAATATTTGACCATTAATTATAAGACCAATTTTTCCCTTAAATGTGACCGAATTTTCTACACAATTATCTTCGAGTTTAACTTCAAAAGAGTTAGGTTTAAACAAGAGTTGACTTGAAGTCGGTTCCAAATATATATTAACCATAGGTTTAGTCCAAATTGATATTAAATATTGAAATAATTGTTCGTTATTTTCTATATAACTCTTATGTTGAACTAAATGAAGTCGTTGTGTGTACTCTTCGTTACCAAAAGATTTCATTTTGACTGTCAATACAATATCAGAAACATTTAAATTTGTTATAACATCGGCAGTCATTAAATGCTTTGTAGCTGTTTTTGAGATCAAATTTCCCGAATCTTTAGTTGTATCGAAACTAATCACTTCCGTTGAAGAGTCACTAAATTTGTGACATCCTTTGGGAATAATTGAGTAAATGCCTGATTCAGTGACACAATGTCTTAATGTACGATCACTTCCAATACGAAGTTTTTCCACTTTATTTGACGGATATTTAAGATCAAAATCAATGATATGAGAAAAATATAAAGATAACAAATAGCCTTTTTGATTGAACTCAAGTCCTTCAATATTTTTATCAATTACTTCAGTCGTATGAGTATCTGTCTGCCAACACCACGAATCGGTACTTTTACTGATCACTATCTGATAAATACCTGGCGATAAATCTTCAAATTTAAATTCAAATTTATTGTTAGATATTTTACGCAAATCGCTAAACTTTAAAGTCTTAAGCAAATGATTGTCAATTTTGTTAAATAATTTCAGTTGTAAATCATTTGTCAAATGCAATGTATTAATTAAACCACTAATAGATGCAGTAAATTGTAGAAATTTCAAGTCTAAAATGGGATCACTTTTGACTGTAATAGTCATTTGTGACGGAATTAGTTTAAAGTTTGGATCCGAAGCAATAGGACTTATAGTATAAGTATCGGGTCTTAAAAGGACACAAAACTCTTCGTCTAATATTTCAATTATACTTTCACTGTGTTTATTGCCTTTAAACTCAATGTTAACGACACGATTAGTTGGAGTTGACTTTAATGTAAAAGTACCGCAAACATCAAAAGCATTGGGAGATATATCGGGAATTTGTGAAGCAATCGGTGATATTTTTAAAAGAGTTGGATTAAATGTCATGTGTGGAGAAGTGACAAGTATTTCATAGTTTCCGGTTTTTATATTTTCCAAATTATATCGACCATCAGTTTTAGTGATAACTGTTTGTTCGTTACCATTTGTTTGATCCTTAACAATAACTTTAGCATTGGGAACACCTTTTTGGTCGACAACAATACGTCCCGAAACACTGAAGCCCTCGATTTCAAATAGTGTTTCAATTTTAACGTTTTGATTCTTTACCTCAAACTTCAATTCTTTAGGTTTTACGTCAAACATGACATTATTTCCGCCATAAAAAGGGATTAAAACATAAGAACCAAAGGAAACGGTTGGGAAACGAAAAACTCCGTTCTTATCAGACGACGTATGGCAAAGATATATTAAATCGTTTGATGAACTCTTAATTGGGATTTGTTTTGTATCACATCCCAGAATTGAATGTCGTTTTTGTGAGAAAAGTGCAAAAAGGACTGAATGTATGGGTTCGCCGTCACTCATAACATTTCCAGTCACTTCATATCCCAAAACTGATAAACTATTTGCAGAATTTGCCGGTAGATAGACGTTATCGTTGGTGACACTGACCTCAATCTGGTTTTTCTTTAACTTCAGGGTTGGATGAGTGGCTTCAATGATATAATCACCGGGAAGTACTTCTTTAAATTCATAAAATCCATTACTTGTAGTTTTAGTTGTCTTCAATATATTATTATTTAGTTTAGCCTTTAAAGTTGTTGATATGTCCTCTGGACCTGTTGTCGACCCATCACTTAATACCTGAAGATTTTAAAGAATAAATCAATAAAAATATAAGAAAAATAATTTTAACTGAAAAATCAATACATTTCCCGAAACAGTGAATCCTTTGAATGAAAAGTTGATATCATTTTGTTGGGAACAGATATCAGTTTTGCCATCAAAGTTGAGTTCAACGGACATCGGTTCAAATGTCCAACCCTTAGGCGGCTCTATCTTCAGCTCATATAATCCCTTATCATATAATGGTATGAAATAATAGCCATTATTTGGGGCGCAATCAGTCGTGTACTTAACGATGCCTTTATCTGTCAAACTATAAAACAAATCTATAAAAATCAAAATCAATGGATCAATTCATAAGACATACAGTTTGATGAAAACATTATTATAGTTAATATTAACGATGGACTTCACGAAACCGCCGCAACCGATCACATCGTTATCACCAAATGTTGTGCCAAATATTTGTATTGCAATCGTTATAATCAATAGTATTGCACTCATGGTTTACACAACACATCAATTGGTTTTTATTGCAATCAATTTAATCACAAAATGACTAAACTATCGGTTGATAAGTGATGTCCACTAACTATGAGTCCACTAATGACTAGTCATTGCAGTACTCAATACAAGTCAAACATATACTGCACTTCAATAGCATTTGAACACATGGTTTGACTCTCTATTCAATGTTTCTAATGTTTCACACAGTCGTTGAATATTACATGTAATACATTGAATAACTTCATATCATATTCAGGTTATAAAAACCGAACCAAATTTAGTATAGTATTTGATGATTAAGTTTGTTATTAACATTACATTCACATAATATTATTAACAAATAACACATCTCTAGATAAATGTGTAAAACATAAAATTAAAATAGACTTAAATGACAATCAAATGCAACACAATTGGTTTAAAAGCGACAAAAAAATATGACATTAATTGTCTTACACTATATAAATAACCATGGTTGATTAAATTGTGTAAATTGGTAAAATAGATCTACCGTTAGGTTAATACCAAATATCAGTCAATTATTGCAGAACCCATACCTAACATAATTTTGTACATTTTATTCAATTTCTTAGCTAATGTTCAATCATATTAACAATTACAGTAAATATCTTATAATCAAATTAAGATAATTATATAGAAATGATCATTTTATTTGCAATTAATTAATATTGTATTGTATATTACAATACAATACAATACAATCAATTTTATTATTTATATTAATTGAAACATTTTTTGTGTTTTTTGCTCTTAATTATCAACTGATTGTTTTATTGGTGACGTTATGTCACATATTATCAGCATTTAGTCTGAGATCAAAGGACTCATTATTTTCCCCTCAATTAAAAAAATGTTTTTATAATTTTCAAAAAATTTTTAAATCTTAATAACAATATTAACTATCATATAATCAACAAATAAAAATAAATATTGACAAAAATTGTTATCAAAAAAATATTACGGTTATAAACAAAAATCCATTTAATGTGACTTTATATAAATAAATCCAATTAACAAAAAAAATAAAATAACAATTAATCTACTAATTGGTGTATTTGTAAAAAAACTCTAAATTAAATCAAAGCTATTGTCGTTTCTTAGACTTTTCTTTAGATTTTGTATTTTGTGTTTTGGGTCCTCCAGTGAACCAACTGGTCATCATCTCTGAGAGCTCCGGTACATCATATTTAGGCATTTGCATGTTTTGCATCTCCTATTTGAAACAACAAACTTTTTAGTAAATGTTTAAACCACTAAAATGATGTTTAAGTGGTCAAACCCGTTGTGTATCGGCATCGGCCGAATTCATCATTTTGGGCAAAACCATAATCAGAAGTAATGGCAAAACCATCATTAAAACCATTGGATTCAACAAAAAGTCTGTGATTTTCCACGTCTCGCGAATCTGAAAATACTTGAAATGTCCTTTTGTTTTGAATTTCAATGGATATGATAACTGTTGGACAGCCGATGTCTGGATGTAATTGACTTTTCGGGCGCGGGTTTTGCCTTTCGAGTTGATGTCCACCCGAATCGGCTCATAAAAGTAGTCGGGATTTGATATCTCAAGAAGATATGAACCGGGAGTCAAATGTGTCATTGAAAACGATCCGTCGCTTCTGTAAATGTTTTATTGGTTTTCTTGAAATCAAATCATATTATATTTTATGACAAATGATGACAAATACCTGAGAAAAGCAAAGTGTTGGCCATAATTGGCGATCACTTTAGTATTGGTCAGGAAGTGGTTCATCGATTGAATCATATCTGAGTGAACAATCACTTTACCATCGATGGTGTAATGCTTATTATTATTAGTTATCTCATTAGATCCAATAACTTCAATGTTATTGCAATTAATTTGTGATATTTGTGTTATCAATGATAACATTGATACTAAACTATATACTAATAAATTCATAACTAATTTAATTATTGAAAACTATTTAAAATTAAATGTATTTATAAATTATAATCCAATGTTTGTGTGACTAAACATAAACACAACAATAGAGTCATCGATATTATACTGTATTCTCAATGTATACATCAATGATGTAAATATTACAGTAGTTTTAATAATTTTATACAATTTATTAATTTTATTAATTAGTAAACAATTTCCTGACAACTAATTAAACAAATAAAAAATTAAAATAATATGTATTATTATAAAACAAATTGAATTATAAAGTATTATTAACAGTGAATATATGATTCAATAGTTAGTCATATAATGTGATTCATAATAAATATGAATACTTTATGAGTGAATGTATTGCTGTAAACACTGAATGACTGAAATGTAAACAATTTATTGCAAACTTTATGATTGAAAGTGTCGTTCAAATGGTTTGATTGATGGATATGTTGTGATACTTGAATGTCAATCACGTCATCTAATTAGCCATCAATTGCAAGTGCGATGAGTTCGAGTCCATTACCCGAACCGGTGACCAACAGGCGGCACAAAATGTCGTCAATGAATGCGCTCCAGAAGTGCAGTCAATATATTTACCGACTGTTCCGCGTCGGACACATGGACTTTGAGTTTGCCGTTTGGCAAATGATTTATCTGTTTATATCACCGAAAAAAGTGTTGGTTAATGACATGTAAAGTATAATAGTGATGATTAATAACAATTTTATTGTCCAACAGTTACCGCAACTTTCAATACAGGAAACAAACGAAGAATCAGTTCGCTCGCGACGACCCGGCATTTCTTGTCCTACTTTTTGTTTGTTTTCTCATATCAGCCACCGGTCTATCACTGGTATTGAGACTACACTTCTTGGGTTTTGTTAAGTTCTTGTTTTGGGTGGTGTTTGTCGACTGTATACTTGTGGGTGCAGTCGTGGCCACACTTTTTTGGTTTATAACCAATAAATATATGCGAAAATCTGAAACTGAAGACATTGAGTGGGGCTATGCTTTTGATGTCCATTTAAACGCATTTTTTCCACCACTCGTTATATTACATGTATTTCAACTATTTTTCTATAACGGTTTGTCTCATATTATAATATGATTAACAAATTATTATAACTCATAAACGATTCCTTATTTGTGTCCATCAAATATAGTGCTTATAAGTCAAGACTACTTCATTGCCCGCTTCTTTGGTAACACATTATGGCTGATAGCCGTTACTTATTATTGTTATATAACTTTTTTGGGATACAGTTGTTTAGCATTTGTAAGACACACTCAAACCATATTATATCCATTGGTTCCCTTATTCTTGTTCTATTTGGTTACAATTATCTCTGGAGTTAATATCTGTAGAGTTATTATGGATTTCTATCATTACAGAGTCTATTGATTTACTGCTAATATATATTTAATTTAACATTTCATTATTTATACTGTATAAATATAAACATTTAATAATCTAATAAATAAAAATATTTTTTTTTAAATATACAAATATAAAAATAATTAAATCAATGCGATTGTGCTATTTCTGAGAAGACATTCAAGACATCGTCAATAGTGAAGAGTAATGTGATGTTAGCGTCCGGATAACAGCGTTCAATCATTTCCTGAATCGTCTTGTATTGAATAATGAACTCCTCTTGCATTGAACGCCAAATCACCTAAAAAATAATTATACAATAAATAAATTTGTTGTTAACTCTGGGAGACGTTTGTCTAATTAATCAACAGATGCCTTGTATTGATAACTCTTTTTAATTTTGTATTTATCGTATAAATTCAAACATATAATTGAATGACATTTTTAATGTAAAACAATAAATGAATTGACACTTGAAAGATGTCAAATGGGAAGTGTCGGTGAGTTATACCTGAATGAGAGTAGTTGTCGGTTCACACGTGTGTTTCTCCACTTTTCGATACATATCTTCCAAACCTTTTTTCACTTCTTTTAAATTGCAATCTTTGATAATTTTTCTGAGTTCTTGTTTACTAAATGCCAATTGATAACCAATTTCTTCTGCTTTCACTCCTTGAGCTACCTTTTGTTGGACGCCTTCAAAGAAAATATTGAGTTTTTCAAGAGGTCGACCAAAATATCTTTTGACATAATCTTTAAGCGATTCATTGTATCGGTTTTTAGCTTCTTTGCGTTCATTTTCGAGACACGATATCTTGAGTGTCGACAAAGTATTGTGTAAGTAGTGATAGTTTTCCAAACGGATTATCTCTTGAGGTGTTTTATGGTGGTCTTTAGCAATTCGGTTAATCGCTTCAAACATTGATCGAACTAATATAGTATACCACCGATCGATGTCAGTCCTTCTTTGGACTGCATTCTTGAATATGTTTTCCGCCTGTTTTGCAAAAATTTCAAACCTCTTAATGAATGACAAAACACCACATTTAGCGCTTTTGGGAGCTTTTGATTCTTCAATACTGATTTGCTGTGAAAGCATAAAGCGATCAAAGTTTCTCTTCACTTGAATTAATATATTTCCGTATGATTTGGACAGAAATGATGCCGTGTCTTGAGCTGATAGTACGTGATGTGTCAATCTTACCAATAGATACATAGAGTAAAGACCATCTAATTTATCATAAAATGTGGCAAAACTGATAAATTCAGGTTCAAGTGCTGCAAACATCTCACTCATCATTGGTCTGATTTGTTCACTTCGTTTCGAGTCTTGTGTCTCATTACTACTTTGGCTCTGATGTGAAGGTGAAGGACTCGAACAAATCGATTGATTTGGATTTGATTGTATTGTTGGACCAATTTCCAGATCAAAGAAATCGATACAAAATTGTTGTTCAGATAGACAAATGGGATCAATTGCTGATAACATTCTATCGACACAATTATCAAACTCTTCCCATTCGCTTAAACTAAATTCTGAACTTCTTGTGGATGAAGTCTCAAAATAATCACTACTCATATTAGGCGTTCCTGTTATTGATCCGGAATTTCTTCGATTATCACTCGACGGTAATGTTTTGCGTTTGTAATCCATATTCTGTGGCGGAGTAGTGTTTGCAACTGAATATCTGCCACCAGATAGACGTTCTTTAGCCAACTCAAAGAACACACCAAATTCACGTTCGTATTGTGTATTTTGAAAATTTTTATAATTCTTCATCAAATGAGTAAATATTTCGTTGTCATTAATTTTAAGCCATTTCACTAATGGACTGTAAGTTCGAAGCATATTATGAATAGGAGAATGAACTGGAAGTGTTAGTTCTTCGCGAGAAATTATTGTCAAAAATTGGTCACTATATTGATTAGTCAAATGTGAGAAAAGATTATTTAAGTGATGCGAAAGTCGTGAAGAAAACTTAGTACAAGTCTTGTCCAACAATTTTCTCTGGTCTTGAACTGCACTCATATATGAAAGAGACGGATGAATGTTAGCGTTCAATGCTTTTTGCAAAACATTAGCCGATTGTATACATAAAGCTATTCCATATTTTGTGGTCAGATCTCCTTCAAGAAGTACATCTTCATCTCTTTTATCAAAATTTAATTGTTGTATAAGATATTGCAATTCAATCAATAATTTATTATTGTTATCGTTCTGAATCTGAACGATAGCTTCTTTCTGTTCCACCTGAAGAACCACTTCTCTAACATTCTTAAGAAGTGTCTCGTAATGACTAATTCTGTTCTCCAGTTTCGACGTCTCTTCGATGGCGTTATGAAGAGTTTGCATCAAACCTAATACGCGTTGCTCTGAAGCCATTATATTTTGTATATTAATTGAATCCATTGAATTGACTTCTTTGGTCAGTTGTTCAGTGAATGCTTCGGCGTTATGTATAGTGAACTCGCATTGAGACAAAAGGCGCTCCAAATCTGCTTCTTCTCTGGCAGTTAACGCCTGATAAGACTCTTCATCGGCTTCCTCTGAGTGTCCATTTTGGCCGTTTACCAATGTTTTAATTTCTGGACTTTCTTGTTGTGAAACTAATGACTCTTTTGGTGCATTTAAGAATTGGATCCGTTGTGGTGACGACTTTTGAGATGACAATCGTGTTAACCATTGAATGAAAGAATATTTATCATCGAGACTATTGGCTATCCATTTGTAGATCTGTTTGTTATTGAAGTGCAGTTCAAACTCCGGTGTTTCGCCTGAATGACCACATTTGGCGTCCACTACTCTTAAGTCACTTAATGACCAACTTTTATGTTTGCGATAGTATTGATCAGTCTTTTTGATCAAATATATTAAGACATTTCTGTTACTATCATTTAAGACAATCGTCAAAAAGTATATTTTCTTCTTCTTATGTGGTTTTGTCACTCCAGTCAATGCCATTAGTCTTTCGTTGTTATGTTGAAAGACATCCTTCTGTAGTGACAATCCTATTGATGTCATTATCTTAATCAACAAAATGCTAAATCAATTGTAAATCTAATGTAAATCATTGAATAATTGGTGTGAATGTCAATAATAAATATAGTGTTGTGTTGTGTTGTGTTGTGTTAACTCCCAATTGATCTCATATTCAATGCAATCATTATATTAGGAGTTAAAAGTCAATTACGTTAAATACGGTATACTGTAATACTGTACTTATATTATTAGTAAAGCATAAAAAAATATTTAATATAAACTTGAAAATATTCAATAAAATATTTACTAAAAACTAGCAAAATATTTATTTAAATATTTATTTATAACTAAAATGCTTTTGTGGAAATCTTAAAAATATAAATTTATAGTTTATTTTGCATAGCATTTAAAGTACTATAAATTATGTTTGAAATATAGATTTGTATATTTAGATTCTTAAACAAACCAAATACTTGCAAATAAATAAATTTTATACAAATAATACTCAAAATAAACTCTTATATAAAATTATAGTTAAATCATTTACAATTAAAATAAAGTATTATATTTTAACAAAATTTTAATCGAATAATTCTAGTTATTGATTAATTATTATATAACACTTGATATAATCATAAAATAATGTAAATAATACTGATTGTCTAATAAGCAAATTAAATTATAAAAACTTTTTTATTATTAACTTAAATAATTATTTGAGTAGATTTTATGAGAGACTAATTCATCGGATTCTTTTTTTTGAGTCTATTATTCTCTAATAACGATTTAAAACATACATATAATATTCAATTCATACAATTTGTAATTTATTTACCTTTAAATAATAAAAAATAATTTTAATAAATATTTATATTTTTAGTTAAGTGCGTTAAATATTTTTACGATATTAATAAAATTAATTTATACTCTAAATAATCATCAAAACAATTTTTATTTATTTTTATAATACTTAAAGTTTTTGACTATAAAATTTCTATTATTTAAAAAAATAAATCCCAAATAAAAGTATTAAAATTTAGACTATCGAAAATTTATTAAAATAGATAATTATATACCATTACTACCATGACTTCCATTAATACTATAAATACTATTACTATAAATTCTATTAATGCACGATAATTAATTAACAATTATTTATTGTATAATATATTTACTATATCATATATCGTATAATGTATAAATTATTATTAAATTTAAATAAGTTATTTTAAAAGCTATTATTTTTAATATTTATATAAACAATAAGTAATTAAATTAGTATAATAATTAACCATGAATTTTAATTGTCCTCAAACTCCATTTATTTTTTTGTACATAAATATTATATAACTATTTTTATTCATCAGTTTTGTTTTTATATTAAATAATTTAATTTTTAATAACTTGTTATTAAATATAACAAACATTTAGAGCAAAACAATTTCCGATTTTTGTTATTAATAATACGTTTTAATTGTTGTCAAAACAAGTAATTACTGATTACATAATTATTTTTAGATATATTTTTCATTATGTATTATGTAACTTTAAAAATAAAAATTATAGTTATATTTTTAAAAATTAATTATCTATATATTACAATATACTACAAAAATATTTTTCTCAAGTTTTTACTGTTTTTCATTATAAACATTAAATTCAAGATTATTTTTCAATAGAAAACACTGCTAACCTATTACTCTAATTTCACATCTATTATTGTCATATTATTTGGCATTAATAATATGTTTTTACTAATTTATTGACACTTTTTATTCAGTTAGTTATTGCTTAAATAATTTTTATTACTATTATTAAGATCTAATCAAACGTAAAATTTAATTAAAATTTAAAACAATACTATAATTTGAAGGTTATGTTGCAAAAATCATTTATTTACATTTCAATTTAAAATTATATTTTTTAATCTCATCTTTGATAATATTTATTTTCAAACTGTTATTTTTATTATTATTTAAATTGTAGGTGTGCTAAAAATATCATCGTATGAAATAATTTAATTAGAAATTTATAGTTTTATTATCAGTTAAGTAATAAATATAAAAATATATTATGCTTAAAAATTTAAATAAAATTCATAAATTTTATATAATTCATATGAATTAATTTCTTGATCTTATAATTTTTTAAAAAGAAATATAATGAATTGCAAAATATCAATATCAAAATTAAAATTAAAATGACCATTTATTAATCATTTATAATCTCAATATAGTAATTAAACTGTAAAATTATTTAACGATATGATATTAGTAATTAAAATTGTAGTCATTTTTTATAATTTTTAGTACAACATGTGTTAAACATTAGTGAAAGATTAAATGATAAGAGAATATAATTTGTGTTTTATTTAATCTTAATTATACTTTACTATACAGTTATACTGTTAGCAATATAATGATAATTGTGTTTGAATGGCAAAAAAATATTATTCAAGTGATTGTTGCAAAATTGGAGTTTAGCCATCGGTGCTAAATCAAGCTTACGGTAATCAAAGTTTGCAACAAAAAAATAAATAAGCAATAAATATAATATAGTATTGAAATTGTTTTTATTTGAAAATCTGGTATATATTATATTAACAGCAATATAGTTGTGATAAAGAGAGAAGTGTGGGAACAGTTGAATAGAGGGTCTCAACTCTATTAAAGCTAAATGATTGGTCACTTGGCTTATGGGCTCTCATGAGGAGAACATCATTTGAATTTGAAAACTAACTAAACTAGATATGAATGTCAAACTCATACACAAACAAAAACACATCTTTTAGTGATGGCATACCCGGTATGCTATACCGTAAACAGTGTTTCTCAAATGGTAAGCCCTATGCCCTCAAACATAGACTATTCCATAGATAGTGTAGCGAAAGGTGAAGGCACTGAAAAATTGATGGGCAATATTGAGAGCTTAACTTTAAACGACTAGTCCTTATACATAGTCCTTACAGTCCTTACAGTCCTTATAGGCCACATATACGCCCTTAACTAGTGTTCAACTTTTAAACTGTCAAACTCTGTGTCCCAAACAAAGGTTTGGCCCAAAACTTGTATTTATTTGTGTGTTATCTGACAATAATGTCATCATATTATAAACTATTAATATTATTTGCAATTAATTAATTTGTTTTGACTAAACATTTTGAGTGAATTTTATTACAATGTTTGACAAGTGGTGCACTTCTTGTACCGGAGAGACTCTGGAAATATCTCAAGAGATGAACTCACAAAATGATTTACAGACTGAGGCCGAGACAACCACTACTATAATGTTGGATAAGAGTGATACCAGTGCTGACAAACGAGACCACAATAATAGATGCAAATCCATTAAAAAGAAATTCAATCCACACTATGCCAGGTATGCATCAAACACTCATTTTCATCCAATTTATATGCAAATTAAGGTTTTAATTATATAATCATAAGAGAAATGCTTGTTCTTTATAATAATATTAAACTATAATTAAATGGTTATTTACACAATAATATGCAGTAATGTTATAAATTAAAAATATATTGTTTTTATCAATAGTTTTGTTTAAATATAAAATAGTAATATAAAATAAAATAAAAAAGTTTGTAGGTTTTGACATTTGAGAAAACATGTCAAGCGATACAATGAATTCAATCAAATATAAAATACATTGACTTTTAATGGCACAAACACTGATTTTTGTATATTGGTTTCACATTAATTATATATCCATTACTTATAAATGTATTTTTTTTTTGTACTATTTTTTGTATTAAATTTGTTTTTTGTTTTAAAAGTTATACTTTTGACAAAAACGATTGACCCGTCATTTATTTTGGACAATATTTTTTTTCTACTATCAAAAAAATAAATTTTACTATTTTCACTGAACTTGAAATTGTAATTTTATTTAATTAGTTAAATAATTATAACATATTTAATAAAATATGACGAAAATTTTTAATAACATATGTGTGATATAAAATTGGCTAAAAATTAGGTGAAATATTAATAGATAGTTATGAATATATCAATGATCCACATAAAGCCATATAAATTGATATATAAGATAAGGTATGATATATGTTATGATTATTTGCAATGACATTGTAAGCGTACTTCAGACGTAAAACAACAATCACTTGTATCTCATGAGTGTTGACCCAAATGAGAAGCCAGTGTTCAACAGACAACTTGTCGCACATATAGACAAACATTGATATTCATAATGAAAGTGAAAGTGTAGTGAAATGCCAAACATTGATATATTAAATGGTTTTAACAACACTTGTTCTTATGATTCCTTAGGGAATATCTCTTAAGGTAAGTATCATTACATTAGTGCCATAATGTGTGTGTATATGTGTGTCTCCAACTCGTCTATTGCCGTCTAAATGTTTGCCGTTATGTTATGTGTTATCTTATAAAGCAATGACCCATAAAATCATTTGATGGCTCTGTGTCTGTGTTTACATTGGTATCCAATTAAACAATTAATTGTGTGATAATGTTTTCGGATAATAATGTTTAAATCTATGATAACAACATTTAGGATAAATAGTAAATGTATTTAGTAATTAAAACTTATCATTTTCAATCAATTTATATAACATGTATTTTTAAAAGCTCTTATCAAAATTTAATATATAATTTTGTCACATATTTAATTCAATATTATCATTAATAGATAAAATAATCTATAATAATATATTAAAATTAGTTAAATTATGCATTTTTTTTAGAAATTTGTCAGAAATATATGACACTTCAATTAATTTTTTATATTTTATAATAATGAATTAAATTGTATAAGTAAAAATAAAGTAAATTGATAGTTTATCATATTTTTGTAACATATAATTTAATAATATATTTAGTTTAATTATAATTTATAAAAGTTATTTAGTATATTATTGTATATGAATTATTAGTCAAATTATTTAAAAATTTAGTTATAAATATTCTAAAAACATTTATAGCTTATTTGTGTTATCAAAATGCTTTTATGAATGATAAAACCTTTAATAAACAAAATCAATTTATTTAAAGGCAGTTATATTATAAATGAGCATCATTTTAATATTTTTAAATAATATTGCAAAAAAATAAAAACTAGGAAATGTTTACAATTAATATTGTCAAAATTTTATCGACAATTTTAGAAATTATAGTAAAAAATATATCGTTTATATAAATTATTTATTTATTTATGATCAATTATTATTCATTTTATAATTTTTTGTTTAGTTTAGTTTATATTAAAATATAATAAAATTTTTTATGTAATAAGTAAAAATGCTGTGCATGGCAGCAAAATAAAGCAATACAGATTATTTTAAGTATAAGTAACTAATATTTACATATTATTTATGTATATAATTTAGCTAATAAATTTATAAATTATTTTTATAATTTAAAATCATATTATTATAGAAAAAAATAGAATATTGAATAATTTATATAATTACAATAATGTTATTTAAAAATTAGTTAATATATAAAATAATTTCATTAATTATAGTAACAATGATAAAAATAAACAATGTTTATAAAAAATATTAAAAACACAAAACTATTTATAAAATTAAATTTTTATCTAAATTAAGATTTTAAAATAAAATGAGTTTAAAACAATATTTCAGTAATTATAATAACAAAAAAAATATTGACATAAATGAAAATTACTAATAACATCCTGTTGTTGATAATCAGTATTTTTGTTAAATACTAAAAATTAAACAATTATTTAAAAACTATAATAACTTATATCTAAAAATTTCATGCTTTTAAGTGCTATGATTTAATACACTATTCATACTTATTATTATAAATATTTTATTAGACTAAAATCTTAATTTTATAAATGTATAATAATTCTATACTTAGTAAGGTTATAATTTTTATTTAAATAATAGTAATCATTAAATAGGATACATATAAAGATAAAACACTTATTTCATATTTTCAAATAATATTAGATAGTAAAGTAAAAATATTTGTTATAACTTTATAATAATATGAATTACTTATTGTTTGTATTGAAAGAGTAATTTTGTGACAAATTCGCATTAATTTAAAGGAATTTGAAATAAGTGTTGCGTTAATTGCCTTGAATTTGAATTGCTTTCACAGTTAATATGATATATAAAATGTTTAGAAATTAAACATAATTCAGTATAAATTTATATATATTTATATATCAGTATATATATAACAAATTATATTTAACAAAAATTATAAGTTTAATAAACTTTAGAATAAATATTTTTATAGATATAAAATATAAATATAAATGTAATGTATTTATTATTATTATTATTTTTGCCGTTTGATTTAAAAATAACTGAATACTAAATCAAATGTTTCTTATTTTAGCATATTTTACATTTTAATGTAAATAAAACATATTAAAATATATTTTTGACAATATTTTTTGAAAATTGCATAAATAAATATTAAATACATGCATTTGCATATTGATAGTATATTTTAAAAAATCTTAATTGATAATTTAATAAGAAATATTATATATGAATATTTAAATTTATATTAATGATAACTTACTAATAATATCAAGAAATAAATTTACTATTTAATTAAATGTTTAATAATAAACTAACAAATGATTCACTAATTAGTAAAAGTATTGTGATTTGAGACCGATATATACAGTAGTCAATAGTCAATTTGCAAACAGTTTTTAGTCTTATTTAAAATGTATTGGAGCGTCAAATAGATGATTGGGTCACACAATACCTAACCATAACAGTGTATATATGTTTAACCACTGTTTTTGTAGGAACAGGTACTATGCAAACACCAGCGACAGAACCACAAAGGGCTGGTAGTCTCAGTTCATTGATCAGCAATAATAGTGATGTGAACTGTAAGTTCAGTCTCTATAAACTATGTCTTAGCAGAAGTTCCTTTGATTTGGACAGACATCAAAACAATCAGTTGTTGCCTAAGAATTCAAAGTCTGTATATATTGTCATTATATAACATATACTATAACTGTATTTTACAAAATAAGTGTATTAAATGTGGTTTGTGTTAATTAATAATAATATTTTTATAGAAAATGTTTGTTCAATTAACATATAAATTATTAAAAAAAAGTAAATTACTGTATCATTGAATAGATTAATATTACGTATGAAAAAATTATTTACAATTTTTTTAATTGTTTCGATAATAAGTATTACTAATAATTTTTTAAAAAGCAAATAGTGTCGATTCAATTAGGCATGACTTACAAATGTGGTATGAAATGAAATAAAAGTATATTAATGTATAAATTTATGTATAATAACCTTTGCATTGATTTTCTACATAATATATTACATAACTAAAATATATATTATATAAAATCTTATTTATTATAACTCAAACCGCATTTTTTGCCCTTATTATTATTATTATTATTAATAATAATAATATTATTATTTTTTATATTTTTTTAATTATTAACTGAACAAAGCATTTCTCTTAATTGAAATATTTGTTAAATTTTTTGTATTAATTATGATTTAAAATGCTTTTATATAAAATCAAAGTTTAAGGCCAATAATAAAATCGATGTTTATTTTAAATAACTAATGTATTGACAGGACTGCGGCCTTTATAGTGACCAGTTCTATATACGGACAGCTATTGGTAGTCATATGTCTGGCCTTTTTCACGGCAGAGATCGTCACACTTAAGATACCATTGCATTACTTTGAGGTAATTAAAAAAAAAATATTTTTATAACAATTATCAGACATTATCATATTAATTGATTGTTGTTGTATTTATAGGGCTTTTATCTTTACCTATATTCAGTCAGTTTACTATTTTTACTATATGTATACATCTATCTGCTAAGTGATGTACCGAAATATGAAGCAAATCGTAAGTAATATTTTTTTTGAGTCACGGATTTTTAGTCATAAAATTTGTTAATTTAAAAGTCAGACAATTTTTCAATAACACTGTATAGTTCAAGGATTTGTCTTAATTTTCATTTATAAAATGCATGCAATGACTAATAATAGGACTCAAGCCTTCAAACGGGAAAAAGACTCAAAAGACCGGAGAAACGGATAGATCTCACGCTTCGATATTCTTACGAATCGGTGGTATTGTCTTTGGACTCGGAGTTATGGTTTATAATGGATTAGAATTTGGAGCATATTTTGAGATACCCTATAATTCTCCCTGTTATTCAATACTATTGGGTATTTTTTAGAAATTATTAAATTTATTATTATTATAATTAACAACTTTTTTAATATTCATAAAAAATTACTATAATTATTAGGCGTGAATCCAATACTTCAGGCAGCGTTTACTTTCGCACAAATGTATTTCATATTTACATATTCACGACTAATGATTCATAAATTCAAACTAATTGCAAGACTTGGATTAATGCATTTGGTGGCCACTAATTGTTGTGTTTGGATTAGGACTCTCGGAAAGGAAACACTCCACGTATGATATGATTTTTAACGATACAATCATTATAATTATAATCTGTTTAATAGGAACTCAAGAACAGTGGTTCGTCGCATGCATTTCTTGAAGAGCTTATTCTTCCGCTTCGCAATCAAATCACAAGAAGCAAATCCCGATCAATACATGATAATTACAGCGAAGTCAGCGACTCTATTGTTAACACAACAACAACTCCATTATCGACGACAATAAATCGGTCAAATCCGTGTCAGAAGGAGAACATAATGGGAACCATATTATCGGATGCTTCGCCTTATTTATATCCATTTATTGTTGAATACTCCCTAATCGGTGCCGCCTTTCTATATGTCATGTGGTCCACAATAGGTCGCGGAAAACGCAATAACCTTTGCAATGGTAATGACAATTCTTCGACACCAACTTCACCAATAAGTAGTCCCGGACTACAAATCGACAATTTAAGCACATCTTCGGGTCAAACGTACAGTACTACAACTCCAGCACTCTATAGTTGTCTCGGTTCCAGTAAAGGTATATTAAAGACAATTTTAGTTAAAATTGATTAATAATTATCAAAAAAATAAATTACAGGACTTTTTAGTGGATTCTTGTTTTTGGCCGTTTCTGTCACTGCTCTCATAATATTCTTTGTTTTGGTTCACAATCCTAACTATAAACTGATGGCAACTCTTATTAGTGATATTTCCCATTCAGCGCTATTAATACTCAGTTGTATCGCTATTTTATTGGGATTTATTAAAACCAGACGGTTAAAGTTTCAGCCGGGTATGCATTTTCATCTATTAATTATTGATTTCTTTTTTTGACAAAATTATATAATTTACAGGAATATCTGAAACAGCAGACGGAGGACTAAGAGATCTTTTGTTAAGAGTGGCAGCCTTTGGTCTTTACATTTATTCTTTCTTTGGTGTGATTGCCGGAGCCATGGAATTAAATTCTGTACAACACCTTCTGGTTTTGGCTACCAGTGCTTTGACAATACTTCAGGTATGTATCAAATAAAATACATCAGCTATGGATATAACTGATATACATATATATTTGATTCATTAGGTGACACTGCAGTCGTTGTTCATATCAGATGTGGTATGTCGTAAGCGAAGCTCACAGAAACAACCGGGACGTCAATTGATCACATTTTTACTGATCAATAACCTAACCCTTTGGATAATCTATACGTTTGAGATGCAAAAAGTGGAGGCATCGCCCCTCCAGCTCAGTGTGTATGGCTATACCACTTGGGCTCTCATTATACGGATAACACTTCCGTTATCCATATTCTATAGATTTCATTCGGCCATCACTTTTGCCGAAGTCTGGAAAAACTCTTACAAATATTAATTAATATATTTGTTTGGCTCTCAAATACTAACATTTTTTTTTGGTTCATTATTACATTTATTTATCGCTAATAATCATTATGTAAATTAACTTTAAATGCATTCATCATTTGTAACTTAAATGCCTCATATAATTTGCGATAATATTGAATCCCATTTCTCATTATTATTATATTATATTTAAACTATAAAAAAAATAAATATATCATTTATTATTTTAAAATTATAATTTATATTATTAAAATTTTATTTATTTATAATATTTACATAAACTATGGTTTAATGTTATTTTTAAAGTACATTGTAAGTAGTAGTACTGATAATTACTTATAATACTTAACTTAGAGTACTTTCATTACAGTATTTTATGCAATTTATTTGTTACGTTTGTGACATTATTGCCAAAAATATTTGTACATTATATTGTATATTTTGTTTAGTAGTTTATCTAAATGCTAAAAATTTAACTGAAAAATACAGTAGTTTTTTATGGCCACTAATATTCTAAAATTATTTTTATCACTGCAAACATTTATCGGAATATAAATTATTTTTAATGTAAAATCAGTGTATTTTTTATGTATGGTTTGCATGTTTTTAAATTATTTAAAAGGGAGGAAATACTTATAGTATATAAAAATTGCAAACATTTACAAGTCTTAGACATTAAAGACAGTACTTAATATAGAAGTGGGTTAGAGAGCAAAACCATCTAATTTAGTATAACTATCTCTAGCATAACGGCTCCCAATACTCTTGTCATAGGCCTCTAAGCAAAAAAATGTTATAAAACATCAATATATAGCAAAATTTTATACTCTAACTGTTAGACTAACATAAGTAGACAAGTTTTAGTATACTTTATATCATTTTGGATTACATAATTATTTTTGTATATATTTGATTAAGTAATTAGATACAGTTTTTTATAAATAATATATAATGTAATTTATTTTTATTTATCTATAGTGTTGTCAATACTAGATATATAAACCTTGAGATTTAATTAGATGATAATAATTTGTAATTGATTTAGAATTAATAAAAATAAAATATATTATTTAATTAGTAATAAATTTCAAAAGAATATTAAGTAATTATAATTATTTAAGTATTAAACTTAATAATGGCATTATAAAAGTGCTATTTTTACAATAAAAATAATATATTTTTGAAACTATAAAAACTACAGAAATAATTATTTTACTTTATATTAAATGATAATTTTAATAAAAATATAATATTAATAGTTATTGCTATTTGTTTAAGTCTAGAAAAATAGAAATTATGACCAAAATCATAATTATTTATTCAATTTTAATAATACTTACTATTCAAATAGTGAGCAAAACTAAAAATATGTTATATTTTGTCAAATTTTAAACAACAATTATATTGTTAAATCAATTTTCATTTAAAGTAGATAATATAAATATTAACTATTTTTATTTAACTATTATTTAATTTTAATAATAAGATAAAATTTTTATAAAATATAGTCTTATAAATAAAAATTTATCAATTGTTATGATCTATTATTTTATCATTGTGTAAAATAATATTTATTATTATACTAATAGTAAAATCTGTGTTTTATAGTAAAGGTTAGCGTTTTCAATAGCAGACATTAAACCATAAGTGATGAAAACCATCAAAAAAGGTCAACTTAACGATAATATACAATGTGCTAAACATATAAAAGATTTTATACAATAAAAATAAAATTTGTGAACAAAAAAGTAACAAAAAATAGTTTATTTTATAGTTTATAGTGATGAATATCACTATATATAATATATCGGTATTTGGTTATAAACGATCTAAAAATGAAAAAACAAAAAACAAATTTAGTACTGTATTAGCAATATGTGAATACTGTAGTTAATTGCATTAAATATACAAAAGTGTTTGATTTTTTTGTAAAATCACCTAATAATATATATATAATAATTATTACTATAATATTATAAATTAGCAGCAATACATTACTACAAATAATGATAACATCAATTAAATGATTTATAAACCATATTATATTTTATGTATTATATAATTTCCAAAACACTGAGTATATTGTTTTATCACATTTTTAGATTTTATAATCCTCATAAATTATTGCAATAAAGACTATTTCACAATTATGATAAAAATTAATTAAAATTACAATTGGATTCCTAAATCAGGATTCCTGTTTTTACAGGAATCCCTATGTCTGAAAGGAATAAGACAAGGAAAGGGATCTAAAATGATTCAATAGACAGGATTGGGATTTAAAAAACAAAAACTCTAAAAAAGACTCTGTTTTCAAGAAAATTGTTTATAAGAATTTTATTTATATCTACATAAGGCTAAAGGTTATAATATAAATAAAACAAAAAACTTGTATAATTTTTTTAATAAAGCAATTTTTAATTATTATTTTTATTTTAATCTATCATTTTATTAATTTTTCTTCGAGTAAAGTTAATTACTGATAATTTTGTAAACAAAGATAACAAACAATTTGTTTAATCAGTGTAACAATAAAAATAATATTAATATTAAAGTAAAGCTAATTGTAGTTTACATGAGATGAACGGGAACAGGGATCAGACATTAAAATTGTAAAAAGTTGTCTATTTATAACAATTTATGTATTGATCCAAATGGTACTAAATAATTATGAACATTTCTCTAAAACATTAACCATTATTTCAAATATCATATATGATATCATTTTAGTGTCTATAAAATCTAATTACATAGAAATTCCCAAGAGTTAAATGAATCAAAAGTAGCCATAAATTGTTGAAAACATTTTTAATTTTAAACTCATCTTTGATTTTTATATTACTAAAATACAAACAAAATGTGGTTATAATGATTAAAATAATCTATTGTCTAATATTATATAATATATTCACAATTGCAGTAATCATTCATTTTTATGGTAAATATAGCACATATAATACTTTTAGTAAATAGTATGTGTTAGAGACAACAGAGTTAATGTTTTTAACATTTTTATGATAATAGACTTTATTTAATTATATTGTATATGTATTGCGAACCATTATGTCAGGTCTTTTCGTCCAAAAAGTTAGCTTTAAGTTTGATATACTGTACATACAGACAAAAATAATAAGTGTGTAGAGAAGCAAAATGAGTTGTTATCACATTGAGATGCCTGAGCCGGGTCTGGTAGGTCTATTATTAATGTTCAATTACTGTCATAAGCTATAATTGAATCAATATGTGCACAAACAGCACAAACACCAGCCAAATACTGGTATGAATTTGCACCGACACTGCAACCAAACCCAGTAGTGATTGTCTTTTATGGCAACAAATGAATTATTTAGTATTGATTTGGGATCACTGTTCAACATTAATGTCTACTTATGGTCACTAATATTTGATTTTACACAAACATTACTAATATCCATCTATCTATCCCCTCATTATTATTATTATACATTTATATAGACAAATAAACATTTAACTAAACAATCTGACAATATGTACACAACTATTAATATAATTGTTTTCAATTTGTGATTATAATGAATTGAACTTCACATCGATATCAATGATATGATCATTTGATTAATGAACAAAATATACGGATTCCTTGTTTTATACTAACTTTGATCCGAAATTTAAGGCTAACATTGTTTGATACTTTAAAATAAATGATTCATTAATGGCATTAAATTCCTAATCATTTTTCAACTGTAGGTTTTGTGATAAATGATAGACAAAAATTTTTAAATTTGTTTAAAATAATAATTGAATTTTATATTAAAATAATTTTATATATTTATTACAAACTAATTAAAAATATAAAGAATAATGCAGATTGATTGTCAAAACAATTCATTAAATCAATTTCAATGTACAAACAATATATATATATTTACAAAAATATACATACGATTACTGATGTATAAATAAATAATTTAAATATTGATTATAATAATTTAGTAAATAAAAATTTATATTTATAGTAAAATAAATAGTAAATGATTACATAAATTGATATCAATTGTTTATATCAATATTGCAAATCTTATAAAATATTTATAGTATTAATAAAACAGTAAATGTAGATAATAATTGAATAAAAATATATAATGATAAAACAATAAATAGTATTTGATATGTTCGGTACATTAGGTCAAACTGGTCTCAGACTAATGTATAGTGTTTTTGCTTTTATTTAGTGGTGTTTTGCCAATTGGTTTATAGCCAACAAAAATAATTCGGACCACAAATTATATGACAAAACAAAAGTCTATTTGTTATATAAGTTATGGCATGAATTCCATTACATGTATGAGTACTATACATCCAAAAACCGTAAGGCCTATCAGTTTACCTAATTTTAGAGTCTCTCTCTCTCTCTCTCTCTCTCTTTCTTTCTTTTTCTTTCTTTCTTCTCTCTCTTTCTCTGTAATGCAACACAACTGCATTTTATGGTCGCTTTGGTTGCATTGGCTGAACATTTACTCCGTTACTCCAAAAAATTTCACTTTCAATTCCGTAGAGTCTCTCATCCGATATAATGTATTTGTTGTGAACTCACGGCAGAGCACAGGCTTACATGTTTGCACACATCTATGCAACCGTTTCTTACATAACCGACTCTCACATTCACTATACATCAAACTATATATATATATATATATAATTATTTTCCAGATGAAAGTCTATAAAATTTCAATTACTACTATTTTTTTATTTATCTTAGTTTAGGTATGAATTTAGAAATGATTTGGCATTTCTCGTGACACCATTTATCATCAAATCATTTATTAAAAATTCATATTTTATATATTTTTTCTTTTTTTTTAATTCAATACAATCTTTTATTAATAGTATTTATTCGTAATTCAAAAACCCGTCAATTTAATAGTCACTTACTTAACTCAAATATTGTTTAGAGTTTAAAATTCTTATAAAATGTCTTGAATTTTTATACACAGATTTTATTAAAGAAATAATAATAATAATAATAATGAC